GGGTTTAGCTTTTGAAGGAGTAAAAGATGAATCTCACATCTGCTTAAATGGAAGGTGTTCTGAGAGAACATGGCATGGAGAACCAGGGTAGCTTTGTGTAATCATCAGTAAATACTTGAGTGTGTATTCTTTGCCTTACTGGAGCTTAAAGTAAGTTGAAGAAAGGGAAATAAAAATGGATATTCAAATGATTCCATAAGTACCACAAGCAGAACAGGCTAAGAAAAAATAGCCATTTTCTCTGGAAGAAGACTGAAGACAGAGGGATAATGTGGGAAGAATGTGTTAGAAAATGAGTTTCAAAGATGAGTCCCTATAGTAAGAGAGGTGCATTCTCTTGAGACAAATTCTGGTATATTTTCCATTCATTATCACTACTCATAGTAACTCAGTCTCAAGTGAAAGAAATAGGTTGACAGCAGATTCCTCCTAGACTCAGATTTATAGACGACATGATTGATAGGGAATTTCCTCAAATTATGCTTAATTTGACATATGACATAATTTTAGGTCTCCCATGGGACAACCCTAAACAACTTATCTCATTCACCTATATTACCTCAAATAAAGGTGTGAACAAACTGCAGTTTGGACTAACATGTCTGTGCATAAACCTATATGAACAAAGTAGACTTTATTACCTGGAATCAAATCAAATGAATTTACCTATTCCCACTTTCCTAAAAAAGGCAGATAAATATATTTTCTGGCTATAGAATTTCAGGTCATTTTACTTAACAATATAGTTCTCTCTTTTTCTTCTTAGAAATTTCATTGTAGTTCATTTTATGTATTATATAATGTACTGAATATCTACATAGTAAAAAAATTTTCAATGCCAGCATAGATGAAATTATGCTCTATACTGTGTGTGGAGAATGTGTTAGCTCACATTGAGTTGAGTTCCAGTTATCATTCTACCACAAGATTTTCTGTTTATTCATCAAGTGTCAACAAATTTTTATTTTTACATCTTTATGACACATGAATGAAAATCAAGAAAAAGTGCATATTTCTCTAACAACTCCTTGATATTCAAGAAAAGAACATTCAAAAGTTATCACATCTGTACTAGAAATTGTCACAGAAGCAGCTCAGGACTGTTCCTTCAAGATCTTTGAAAACTATTGTTCAGAACATCATCATTATTTTACAAATTCTGGAATTATTCTACAAAGTTAAGCATAATAAGGGTGAGGGTAAAAAACATATGTAGCTTCTTGAGATTGATCTGATATTAATATATATGTTATGAGGTACATATGATTTTCTTATTAGTATGAGACAGAAATAAGAAAATCAGTAAGGGTCCTTTGGACGGCAAGGTGTGTTCTATATCTTAGAGATGTGGTAATAAAATATTTGTGGGGAGGGATCCTTCATGGAGATTATGGTCCAGTACAGTTGGACAATAATAAGTCAAATGCAAACTAGAAGGATTGAAAATCACTATTGGAGAATTGTATTTTCATTGTGGCTGAGAAGTAAGTTTAATTTACAGTTGAATAGAAGATTGAGGCAAGTTGATGGAGGTAAATTCTTATAAACATTTTTAACAGTTTTAACATAGAACTGAATGCTTTGAAACATAATAAAAATTTTATAAATGTCATTTCTATATATTGTTCCATTAATAAGAAAAAATATAGTGGATATTGTTGTTAAATACCTCACATAATAAAATGGAAATTACATACACATAAGCCTTGTAAAACAGATCAAGCAATACAAATACAATCCTCACATATACATATGTATTATGAGTTATCCTCCACAAAAATATGGATCAGATATTTGTATAGATATATGGATATGAATAGATATATAGATATTTTTCTAGGAAAATAAAATGAAGTAAGAACATAAAAAATGAGTAGCACATAGAAAATTCAGAAAATGTTTTCCTGTAGTTTTCAAATGGGGGAATAGCCTTCTCTCTGTCATTACAACTTTTAGTTTTATAGGGTGACATAAAGGCGACTTTGCATTGAGGTGTTTCTGTCACATAGAAGGTCGGCTGATGACAACACAAGCACAGTTTTATGCCTTTTAAATGAGAGAAAAGCAACTTAACCAAGGTTAAATTCTCATGCTAGCTTTGAAAGTAGAAGTGTCGCTTTGCTGTATCTGTGGACATAGTGCAAGAGAGAGGAGCAGGGAAGAGCATGATGTTATTTGGAGGTGAACATACTTTTCTCCTTAATGCTAAGTTTTTGAAGACTTCAAAGCTTAGAGGTGTCAGAAAGAATACAACAATGGCCTGCCATGTAGAAGAGGCACTGAAGTGAAAAAGAAACACCTTGTCTCCAAAAGTATGAGAACTTCTTCTAGAAAGATACAAAAAAGAAAAAAAAATGTAGATACTGTTATTGTTACCAAGAGCTCAGTTGTTGTCCCTGATGCTAATCCAATAACAAGGACACAGTTTTGGAAAAATGGGAAAAAAAGGTTTTATTGCTTTATTGGCAAAGGAAAAATGCCAGGATCTCCTGTGATTCTGCTCATTGGGGGAATAGAGGATATTTATAATTTATTTTCTATTCTACTTTGTTATGTGACAGTTCATATTACACATAGAGAGCACAATTTTTCATATCTCTGGTTATATACAAAGTATGTTCACACCATTCCTGTCTTCATACAGATACTTAGGATAATGATGTCCATCTCATTCCACCATCTTTTCTACTCCCATGCCCCCTTCCTTCCCTTGCCACCATCTAGAGTTCCTCCAGTCCTTCCAAGACCCTTCCAACCCCACTATGAATCAGCCTCCTCATATCAGAGAAAACATTTGGCATTTGGTTTTGGGGGATTGGCTAACTTCACTTGGCAATACATACTCCAACTCCATCCATTTACCAGAACAGAGGATTTTTTAAAAGATGATTAAAAGATTACATTTCAGGTATGCCCTGACATGTTTGCTTTAAAATAAGCCTCAGGGGCAGAGCAAAAAAGCCTTCATTTAAACCACTATTACATTTCCCCACTGTCAATTTCTGCCTTCCATTTCTATGTAAAACTGGGTGGCAATATCTCCAAGCTGCTTTCTGTTGACAGAGGGTAAAGTTGGGGGGAAGTGACTCCCAATCCTTGTTTTCTATCTTGAGAGGCATAGACAATTAAGGTTATTTAGCATCTGGGCAGTTCAGAGGTCCATGGTAGCCATACATAGGTCAGGTATCATGCTAGGACCACAATAAACAAGACAGAAAAACTTTATTTTTTGGTAAAGAATTAGCACAAAAACAATGTTTTAGCCAGTCTCTGAAAACCATGAAGTCAGTAACTCATTAAAGCTTAAGATGGCACTGACATGACTGATTTGTGAGTGGAGGCCATTTAAGACTTTAGAACATTAATACAGTTGTTAGAAACACACAAAGCATTTAGTTTTTATGGCACAGGTGTCCCCTTGAGCTGTAGTTAAGATATGTAATGTCATCTGATTTCTGTAAAATAGCTTTTTATTGTTAGCATTGTCTCTATGTTTAGTAGAGGAATCTCTTTAACTGTCATTTACAGATCTCTTGGCAAAGTTAGTTAGACCTTTTATGTGTCAGACACATTGCTTCTCTTAGACCAACCTGAGGGAGTATTTTGTACAGTTCAAGGAAAGAAGGCAGAAACTCTCTGAAAGAAGGAGCTTCAGCAGCTGCTAGGACAGTCCCTGAGTCACTCCCTTTACTTACAGAAAAACTCCTCTGATTTAGCTGAAGGGAAATTCACCCAATCTCCTAATTCCCCAGCAGTCACCTTTCAAAAAACTTACCAGATACCTTGAATCCTCAGCATGGAAGGTAGGGAGGGAGGTGTCCAATGTGCTAGACCTGCCCAAGAAAATTGGAGCAGGGGTTGCACTGGGTCCCATCTAGGTTGCCAATTTGTTACCAAAAGTTTGGTACTTGTCCCTGATGCTAATCCAATAATGAGGACATGGTTTGAGAAAAAGGTAAAAAAAAGTTTTATAGCTTTAGTAGCAAAGGAAAAACACAGGGGACTCAGCTGAGATTCTGCCAATCCATGGAAACAGAGAGTTTTAAAAGAAGTAATCCAAAGGTTACATTCCAGGTATGTCCTGAAAGGGGACTGAATTCACTTGCTAATTTGGGAGTGGGAGAAAAGGGAAAAACCATGTCCATTTTAAAATAAGCATCTGACAGAACAGCAAAGACTATATTCAAAGCATAAAGTGGACATGGTTAAACTACCACCAAGAGAATATGTGGGAGCTGAACATCTAATAGATGCCACCAAGAGAGACTTAATAAGGGGGAAAATTGCCTCCAGGAAAATAACTCAAGTTTTCTTTTGCTGTTTGAAAAGACATCAATATGAGAAAGGGGGAAAGAAGTAAATTTACTTCTTGGAAGTCTTCTTCCTTGGTCCCTGCTCCCCCAACCCTAAAAAAAAAAAATTATTATTATTTTTTGAGTGAATAATAGTCTTTGGTTAGAAATTATATTTGTCATTAGTAAAAAAAAATAATTTGTATATTTAAATTTTCCAATGGAATAAATATTATATGCACAAGTAAATAACAAAAAGATCATTTCAAACTATGAGATTCTATAATGAAGTTTGGAAAAAATTATCTCTTTGGATTAAGGGAAAATGAGTATAGAATTATGAAGAAAGTAGAGGCAGTAACATCATCCCTAAACTGAGGAGCAAGGATTATTGCTTAATTTACGTAAAAGTATTCCTAGTATTATTCATCATGTATATTATTGTCAATCTTTCCAATTATAGTGCTATCTCGTTGTGAGTTGGAACAATGGTCACTCATCACATGCTTCCATATTTCCTAATAGTGTTCTACAAACTTAGTAAGAATTAGGCATTATACTTTGGGTATTACAAATTGTTATGCTTGGTTATTTATTTAAGAGCTCAAACTTTCTAAAATGTTTGCCAATAAACTTAGTTAAAAAGAACAGGTATACAAAATATTGAGAATATAAAAGGATACTGACCAAATATATTTATTCCCAGAATTAAGATTTAAAAAAAAAACTTGCCTAAAATGAGGTATATTCAACCCTAAGGAGTGTTTTGAAGGTTTATAAATGTGTTTAGATGTGAATAATCAGGTTATTTTGCACAGATGGATCATGGCACATCTCAAAGAGGTGCTGTTCTCTACGTATTTGATCCTGGGTAATCCAGTATTATCCTTGGCACCTGTCTTCCAAGAAATCAGACACTAGCATTAATCTCATGACTTGTAAATATATATTGCTATCTCTGGACTGCTTCCTTATCAAACCTCCAGAAATTGTAAATTTTTACTAAAACAAAATACTATTTTTTACAGGGCAGTTGTTTTTTTTTCCAAGGAACTTATTTAGGGCAAGTTTCACATCCTTATTCCTCAAGCTATAGATTACAGGGTTCAGCATGGGCACAATAATAGTATAAAACACAGAGGACACTTTCCCTTGGTCCATGGAGCTAACTGACATTGGCTGCAGGTACATGAATGCAACAGAACCAAAGAAGAGAGCAACAGCTGAGATGTGGGAGCTGCATGTGCTGAAGGCTTTGGTTCTGCCCTCAGTGGAGCGAATGCTCAGGATGCTGGCAATAATGAAGACGTAAGAGCTAAGGATGATCAGGGTTGGGACAAGGACATTAAACACACTAAAGCACAGAACTAGTAATTCATTCACAAAAGTACTTGAGCAGGAGAGCTCTAATAGTGGAAGTACATCACAAAAATAGTGGTTGATTATATCAGCTTTACAGAAAAGCACTCTTAGCATGCAGACTGTGTGAACTGTGGCACCAATCAAGCCCATGCTATACACTTCAACTACCAACCAAAAACAGACTTGAGAAGACATAGTAACATTGTAAAGCAAAGGGTTACAGATGGCAACATAGCGGTCATATGCCATTGCAGCCAACATGTGGCATTCTGATATACCAAAAACTAGGAAGAAATAGAGCTGAGTCATGCACTCAGGGTAGGAAATGATGTTTTTCTGCACCACAAAGTTTACCAGCATTTTGGGGATAATGACAGTGGATTGGCAGAGGTCAGTGAAAGACAGACTGCTGAGGAAATAGTACATAGGTGTATGCAGGTGAGAGCTGAGCCCAATCAGCATGATCATGCCCAGGTTCCCTACCACAGTGAACATGTAGATTCCTATGAAGAAGAGGGAGAGGGGCAGCTGGAGCTCTGGTTTGTTTGTTAATCCAGCCAGGATAAATTCTGTCACTGTGGTGGAATGGTTTCCTTGTGTCATTTTTTTCTTCAAACCCTATTGGAGGAAGAAAAAATGAATTTAATATAAGTAATTATTATCTCACTGAAGTGTGAGCCATAATTCAAGCTTTTTCAGCCATATTTCTACTTCTTTGGCCACTGTTCATCTGTGTTTGCAGCCAAAAAACTTTAGATCCCCCAAATATGGGACATGTCAATAAATAGCAGCATTTTCCTAATCTGTATTACTTGGCAAAAGAGTGGTTATTAGTAACTAGTTCCTAATAATCCAAAGAACTCTTCTGATAACTATAGTTGACTGTTTTGGGAACTTTTCATGACTTATTTCTAATAATTTCAAATGCTCTATAGAGCAAATATTTTGCCTATGTTAAAATAACAACAACACAAAAATCATACAGCCAATATCACAAAAGGAAAAGAGTTTGAAAAACTTTTCCCGAAGGTAATGAACATGTCAAGATGTCCACTCCCAGCACTTTTGTTCAACAGTATACAACAAGATCCAGCTAGTGCAATCAGGCAAGAAAACAAAATTAAAAGGCATACAGATTTGAAAGCAAGATGTAAAACCATCTTTATTTTTAAATGGCACAAGCTTGTCTATGGAAAATACTAAGGACTCATTAGGAAACAATTATGAGGATGAATTTTAAAGTTCACGAATATGGAGAATTCAAGATCAATAGAAAAACTGAATTGTATTTCTCTACAGTTGCAACGAACAATCAAAAATTGCATTTGAAATGACTTGAAAAAGAATAAAATATTTTGTGATAAGTTAAATAAAATAAATGCAAGGCAATTTGCCTAAAATTACAAAACATTGTTACAAGGAATAAAAGCCCTACTTAAACGACAATACATACCATATTCCTGAATCAACAATACTCAATTTTGTCAAAATGGCAGTACTTCCCAAATTGATGCATAAGCTTAGTGTAATCTCTATTAAAATCCTGGCTATGTTATAGCAGTTAATTACAAACTGATTGTAAAATCCCTACAATAATTCAAGGGTCATAAGAAATCAAAGCAAACTGATGAAAGGAGAATAAACTTGGAGTTCTCACATTTCCCACTTGAGAAGTTACTACAATGTAACTATAATCAATATAGTATGGTATTGTCATAAGTTCAGATGCACAGTTCAATAAAATAGAATTGGAAATACAAAAATAAGCTCACACCTATGAAGAATTAAGTTATTATAAGTTTTTATTGACAATTCCATGAGGAAAACCTTTTTTTTATTCAACAAATGATACTAGGTCAATTAAATTGGGACATGTAAAGCAATTAATTTGGATTGCTTTTTTATACAGTTCACCAAAAGCAATTAAAAATGTGCCATAGAGCTAAATGTAAGATCTATTACTCTAAGAATATTAGGGAAAGAAACACAAACCTAAATCCTTATGACCTTGGATTTGATGGTAAGGGCTTTAGATAAGATCCCCAAACCAGAGGCTAACACAGAAAAAAAAATAGTAAGTTGAACATAATAAGAATGAGGGAAAAAGAACTTTTCTACACGGTTGGTAGAAATATGAATTAGTAGAATCAGTATGGAAATCAGCATGGAGGTTCCTCAAAAGGCTAGAAATGTCAACATCATATGATCCAGCTATAGCACTCTCTGGTATTTATCCAAAAAATTAAGGTTAATATACTATAGTATTGGATGCATCACAATGTTTACAGCAGCACAATTAATAATAAATAATAAAATAAAAAGAAAGAGAAAAAAGAAAAGAAAAAAAAGAAGAGAGGAAGTTACAGACATAAGGCAGGCATGTCTTCAATCCAAACATTTTATTCTATGACTTTTTTCAGAGATAAAAATCAACTAGAACAAAAGTGAAAAAATGAATATAACTAAGGAGGACTGAAATCAGTATGGTTGAAGAGAATTCCCAAGTAGAAAATAGTGGTGGAAAATTATATAATTGTAATGATTCAAGTTGATAGTATTGGGCTATGAATGTGAACTAAAAACAAATTTGACAAGGATAAGCCAAATGTTTGTTGTGGGCATTCAGCATGAGGAGACAAATGCTATAGAATTCCTCATCTTCAGAATGATACCATCTTGAAGGGGACCGGAGGCCAACACTAATTTACTGTGCTGAACATGACTGTGGGGTCCTGTAGGAACATGGTCATTATGGTGCTAGCCCAGAGTGGGGTCAAAGAAGGCTTTTTAAGGGAACCTGAGTGTAGACATATAAGTAGAAATGATTAAGCTCTGCACAACATTCAAATTGGAGAAGCAATGACCTGACAGTTCCCCATATCAAAGTCCCTGGATCCAGAGAAGAAACACCTATAAATACCAGTAATTTCTTTATAAGAAAGAGAGTATTCAAAATGAGGGAAGTGGTAGATACCCAAGAGAAACTGTATCTGGTGAATTGTGCTTAATTCTGGGAGGCTATATTTTATGACGGTGGTATATAGATTGCAATTATTCAGAAAAATTTAATATTTAGATTAAAATAATTTACACCTATTATCTATATGACAGTAACAACAAACAGGATCTATTGTATGAAACCTCAAAGGGAGGATCTATAGCCATAAAGATACGTTTTATCTTTATATCTTTACCATTAAACGTACCTGGAAGCTGTATGAGTTGAATTATGAAAAAAGATAATTTTCTGCCTTCATATTTGTTGCAAAAAGAATGAATAATCATTTTCAGGTAGATCTATGGAATCACTGTTATATTATAAGGAGACTCAAGTTTATGAAAGTCCTCTTACCTTCTGAGAGTAAAAAGGTATAGAATAATTGGAATTCAGTTAATCTTTCTCTACTTGGAAACAGAAATGCAGGTTATACATTAGCTTTAGACCAAAAGCCTCTGGATGATTTTGGTGGTGGCAGTTCATCATAGACTCCTGGGCTCCCATTTCCGTATGGAATTAAAGTGCAGATTTCAATATACGAGGAGCTCACTTACATATTATAAATCAAATGCCACAATTCCTCTTTGTAGATTCCTCAAATGCTACCCAAGAAACTCATTAAAATGATTTCATTTTGTCTACAGTTCTGATCCATAATAGATGTCATAAAAATATATTGGTAGAAGCTCCCCCAAGATTTTCTTTCACCAGGGATGAGCTGTTACGATGTAAGAGCAGTTTAATTTTGTTTTTTTCATCATTCGTATGAAACTGTCATTAGCTCCCTTGTGTATAATAATGTCTCTGGGCCGAAAAAGTAGTAGTTTATTAGGTAAAGGACCAGAAATTAAAGCCTCCTAGATACAGTTCTAGGAGGACTTCATGATAACAACTTCCTATCTGAAAATGATAACTGAAATGTTTAAAACCATGATTTCAATCCTTGTTGTTTACTGAAGGCTTGGAGCAATATTTAATTATTTGTAATTATTAGTGAAAGTTGCTCTGTATAGGTCTCTGTAGTTTTCAAGGCACTTATGGCATCACCTCAGAGAAGGGATTGGAGGGTAAAAGGTGTTGACCTAAGGAACTTAGGAAATGAGTAGAGTTTGCAACAGAGACACAAAATAAATTGTGTAGTCTCCACTCCAATTGTAATTTATAAAGGTAGTTTTCATAAAGTTACAGGTAGACCATTCTAAAAATCATCATAGTTGTATACTTAAAATAAAAACAAAAACAAAAACAAAAAAAGCACATTGGTGAATAATGGCAAGTAGGTTTATGTCATGATATAAAACTGATGCAGAGAAGTCAGAACTTAATGTTTTAAATAGGGAAATTATACAAAGTAAATGACTTTCCAGCTTGAGTCTTGAAAGATAAATAGAAGTTTGTCCCACAAAGGAATTAGGAAAAGGTAACCCAAGGAGGGGGGGAGTGGAGCTAAAGATACAAAAGAGAATGATTGAATTTAAATGTTTTCTGAAATCACCTCCAACATCTGTATAGGATTAATCATTTCTGTATTTATTGGTCTAGTCAATATTTTATGTATTTTCATTAAATATTTACTATATTTTATATTTTAATTATTTCTGTGTCTGCCAACCATGCTTAGCTATGAGCCTCTTAAGATTCAGAGACCTTTATAATTCCAGTACTTATCATACAAGTAATTAAGATATAATAGTTCATTATCAAACAAGTAGGCCAGGCACAGTGGCACACCTCTAACCCCAAGCACTCAGGACGCAAATGCAGGAGGATTACAAGTTCAAGTCCAGACTCAGCAACTTAGCCAGAGCCTATCTCAAAATAAAAATTAAAAAGAACTGGGGACATACCTCTGAGGTATTGTGCCCTTGGATTCCATTCCCAGTACAAAAACAAACAAACAAAAAATAGCAAAAGTAAGTGGATGAATAAAAAATTGCAAAGTGGATCTTGAGTAAAAGACAAGAAGAGAGATGGATGAAGTGCTGGAGTACTATATGGCTTTGAGGAGACTACAGAGATAATTGATTCTAGTTATTAATCCACAGATATTATACTAAACTACTAAGTTATTTTAATTTAATTTTAAGTGACAAACAATTATCAAAGAATTAGAGCAGCATCATGTAGTTTGCATTGTGGAAAGATAGTACTTTAGAAATTAAATTAATTATGATCATAACCCATCTTAAGATGTCTGTCCACATTCTTCAAGCTACTCCAGAGATCACCTTTAGAGTGTCTTTGTGGCCTGAGGGATCCCCATGTCCTCTGCCTTAGGGCTGTCTCTGGCCAAAGAAGATTTTCCAACTCTCTTTAATGCTCCCAAGAACATCCACTAATAAATTTTGGGCAATAGTTGATACAAAAATACCCCAGCTTCCTTTGTGCCCAGGTAGAATAATGGAGATCTTCCTCCACCATTTTTCAGAGGATTCCCAATGGGATTAAGCCACAGTTCTTCATAGTGGTGAACCATAAATATATGCTTGATTGGCTGTTCTTTCTTTTCTCACTAATCCCTTACCATGCTTCCTGGGAGTATCTTCCAAATGAGCTTATATCCCAACCTTTGGGAAAATCCTGAGTAGATTTCCTGTTTTTTTCCTCCTCCTCCCTCTTCCCATTTCTCCTCCTCCTCCTTCTTTTTTTTTATGAAAGGAAATCTTGAGGAGAGGTTGATAATGTTACCTTTGTGCTATGCAAAGTTGATATATTTATAAAATGGGCTACTACACTTTGAAAATAATCAATAAATTAATCTCAGACATGCAAATATATAAGTATCCAAACAACATTTATATGAAAAAAGCAAATATTAACAGCAAACATCATTGATATAAGGTTCAAAACCTTGTTATATAATGTTTAGAAACAAAAACATATGAGGGAGGGGCTGGGGATGTGGCTCAAGTGCTAATGCGCTCTCCTGGCATTCGCGGGGCACTGGGTTCCATCCTCAGCACCACATAAAAATAAAGATGTTGTGTCCACCGAAAACTGAAAAATAAATATTAAAAATTTCTCTCTCTCTCTCTCTCCCTCTCTCTTTTCTCTCTCTCTCTCTTTAAAAAAATATGAGGGAAAACTCAAAGAAAACATAGAATTCAGGAAAATTATGGCATGTAGAAGGAGTAAAGTGAGTGGGATCAGGCCAGAAACTACTTGGAATTTTCACTGGCATTGCTCTTTTCCTTTAGTGGGTAGAGGAAATAAACACATGTGTGCTTAATGTATCATGGTAAAAAATATTTTACATATTTTCCCACTAATATTATCTTCTGATTTTTTAATACTTGATAAAACACATTTTAAAAAGGACAATGACAGGTGATTCATGACATCATTTTAGGATATCATTGAAATGAGAATTAAATTAATTGTCTAAGCCCTGGAATATAAAACAAAGGAATGATAAGTAATATGCAAGATTGTTTCTCACCAATCAAGCATTCCAATAATGACAGGCATTGTTACCCTTCAACCCCCGTCAACCAGTACACCATGTAGAAATATAATAATGCTATTCTCTTGACTGATTATTCTGGTAAAGGTAAAATTAGGATTTTTGACCAAAAACTTGCAGTGTGGGTGACTGAGAACATAACTTCTGATTGGTTATTCATTAATTTGAGTCAACTTCATTGGGAACAAGTCACTAGGGAGAGCAGGGAATGACTGGTGCAGGGCCTGACCCCTGTGGATATTCCCTTGAAAACCTCTCTCCAGGGTGTTCCTGTCCTTGTCAGTACCATCATCTGGGCTTCACTTTTAGTGTCTATGTCCTAGTTTTACACAGAGTCCGCAGATAAATCAAAACACAGGTCAAATTCAGAACAGGATTTGGCTTTATAACAAATTATGGTATCTTACAGAAATGGTTGGAATAAATGTAGAAGCCTTTAAAGAATCTAGAATCTGGGTTGGAGGTGCTGGATGCCCCTGAGCCATGCTTGAAGCTCGTGAGTATCTCAGGAAGTGCTGCCCTACAGCACTACCTGCTCAAAACATCCTCTGAACCTCTATTCCCATATTCCTCTTCTCTGGCCTCCCTTGTCTTAAAATTTGATTCTTCAATTTCATCTGCCCCTGTGGATTAGTCTGAGGGTTGGGCTACCTGAATTAAGGTTTCTTTGACTGGAACTTTTTCTCAAATGCTTTTGTTTACTGCCACTTATGTGATAAAACCTATAAAAATCTTATCCTACCATGAAAGCCAACCTGGGCCTCCACAGCCCCAGACTGGGCCTGGCACTTCTGCCTCCTGATTGGGAGGACAGTGTTCAGGTTCTACCCAGAGATCCAAGAGCTATCAGAATCTCTCTAAGCTGCTGGGACAGAGAAGTTAATTTGCTTAAGGAGATATGGATGGAGTTTTTTTTGTTCAGGATTCTCCCCCACTCCAAGAACAATGTGCTGAGCTGGAGACAAACCCTGAAATCAGAAGCTATAATAAATTTGACCTTCCTGCAAAGACATCTCCTCACAATGGCTCGTGGTTAAAAGGTACCAGCCCAAGAAATTTTCTCTCATTCTCCTCCCCAATCCCTTAAGAGAAAACTGAGAACTATGCTGTTTCTTCCTGGATAATACTCCTCTATTGGTTGGGTCTGGCAGGTTCCTTGGCTGCTTTCTAATTCTGATTTCAATTTCTACCTTGGTCTTAGTGTGAACCCTGGATGTTCTGGTCAGTTGCCCATCTGCTTCTTTTCCTCAGCAGACTCTGACTTTCTTAGTGTCTCTGAAATCCCCAATCCTAGCTTGGGATTACTCATTGAATGATATATAATGAGCAAAATTGGAAAAGAAGCAGGAGCCCATATTTATTCCTATAGATTGTTCTGTTTTGAATGAGCATATGTAGCCAGGAAACTGAGGAAGGGAATCATTAGAGTGGATCCTAAGAGGAATGAGAAGGGTTTGTGATACAGTAAAATTCAAATAACCTGAGATGTATTTCCATTTCCCTTTTAGGCTTTTGTTTACTGAAAAGGAAAAGGTAAACAGCGGCAATAGAAGGATTTTAGGAGGTTCACAGTAATATCAGGCAAAAGTTTGCCTACCTTCCTGGACCATGTGCCAGTTCACCCTGGTGGTTACAGGCAGACACATACTGCTGGTTGGGCCTGGCAGGTTCCTTGGCTGCTTTCTAATTATGAGAAGAGAAGATAAAAGAAAAGCCTTTCTTCTGTCTCTACCCACTCCTTTTCTATCACCCTTTTACCAGGATCTTTTCTTCTCTATAATTTTTTTCAAATAATTTCCATTTAATTTGCAGATACATCTGCTTTTTAAACAATATTTTTATGGTTGCATATTAATTATACACAATAGGGGGTTTCACTGTGATATATTCATATATAATGAAATTATATAATTTAATCAAATTCATTCCACAACAAACGTTACAGCATCAGTGTTTCCCAAGCATGATAGTATACTTTTAAAATTCGATCATGAAAATTATACCTGAACTGATTGAAATGAAATATTTCTCATTCATAGCCTAGCTGAACCAAAAAAAATCAATAAATAGAGGAAGATAAATCAGAGCAAAACCCTTTTAGTAAAACAAAGAAGCCCAAAACACAGCAAACAATAGCTGGAACCCAGCAATACTCAGCATTGCCCATTGGTTGTACTGAACGAGGCAAAGACAAGTCCAGATTTTCTAACATGGAATCAGAGCCCAATCCCCTCTCCACGGATCCCTTTATCTCCTCTGTCTTCCCATTCACAAGTTGCATGTCTACCACCAATGCCTATTTCCAGGTCTAAGCCCAAAAGTCAGGGTTTGTAAGTGGTATTGAAGACTGGCATTTCTGCTTCACTGAGAAACCTGCCCAAGGTCCTAGCAAGAAGCATTTTCTTTATACACATTCTTTGTGGTTCTGAAGTAATAGGATGCTATTGGAAGCCATGAGAATACATCTCTCTCACTTCCCTAACAACCCTTTAGCCAATAAAATAATGGCTTGTCTAATGGTTTGGGGAGACAAACACTGTAGCTAACATGAAAAAACATCAGTGTGAGAAGAATATGAGGTATAGGAATGAAAAAGGATGAAGACAATTAAGACTGAGAAGCAGAAGGTCCATTTTATTTCTGCCTACTGGGAAAAGTTCCCTTTCTCTTTATGAACCCTGTAATGTCCACAAGAAAACATGGAACCCAGTGTCAGAAGACCAACCCTGGAGTCTTCATTTTGCTATTTGTTCTTCACACACCCTGAGACAAGTCACTTTAACTCTCAGCATCTCAGTCCCCCAGGTTGTAAAATGGAGATAATAATAATACCTTATGCAATCCAAATAAAAGTATTTCATCAGCTGTGATGTGTGGCTGAAGTGTTGGCTACTGATCTCTCTCTACAATTATTCAGGAAGGAAGCCCAGCAGGTGGAGGACCTTCCTCATCCTTATTTCTGAGAATGTAAATCAAGGGGTTCAGCATGGGGGTGACCAGATTATTCAGGACCCACACAGTTGCATCCAGCCAGGGGCTTGGGGTTGGCTTTAGATAGATGAGGACCACTGGCATGTAGAAAAGCAGGATGGCCGTGAGGTGGGCACTGCAGGTGGAGAAGGCACAGCGGCAGCACTTTGCAGAGCAGATCTGCAGGATGGAGCAGAGGATGCAGCTGTAGGAGGTGAGGATGAGGAGGAAGCAGCTGAGAGGCATGAGGCCAACACTGATGAACCCCACCATCTCCAGGGCTGAAGTGTCTGCACAAGCCAGCTTCAGCATCACTGGGATGTCACAGAAGTAGTAGTCCACCTCATTGGGATAACAGTAGGGCAGCTGGAAGGTGAGAGTGGTCAGAAAGGTGGTCTGAATGCAGCCCCCAAATGAGGTCCCTGCAGCCAAGATGGCACACACTCTGTGGCTCATGATTATGGTGTAGTGTAGAGGGAAACATATGGCAACAAAGCACTCAGAGGCCATCACTGTGTACAGAAAACCCTCAGTGCAGCCCAGAAAATGGTAGAAGAGCTGGGACCCGAAGTCCACGTAGGAGATGGCTCTGCTGTTCTCTGACAGATAGAACAGCATCTTGGGAGAACTCACAGAAGGGAAAAATATGTCAAAAATAGACAGTTTGCAAAGGAAGGAGTACATGTGGGTATGAAGCCAAGTGGAGGAGATAATTGCCAGCAAGATTAGCAGGTTCCCCATGAGGGTGAAGACATAAAAGGACAAAAACAAGATGAAGAGCATGGTCTCCAGACCCTTTGGTTTGGGACTATTAGCAGGACAAACTCAGTTACCACGAAGGGAATCTTCATAGCTGTAAGAAAATCTAACCCTGAGAAGGAGTCTGAAACACCAAAATCTGTACAACAATGTAACATTATTAAGCTTTGACTATGTTTTTAAAAAGAAGCAACTTGACATATGAAAGTCAAGAGCAAAATCTATGTAAAAATTTCAGGTAAAAAGATGTGGCTATTTCAGAGTCAGTCAATCCAATCTTGGAAAAACTATTTTTAAGAGAAATGATTGTTTACTATGACAAGAGGAGAAATTTACATAAATATTCAAAATATCCCCAAGTTAGGAGACTTTTTCCCATAGATATAATCTTTTTGATCACACTTATATTTTGAATTCTCATATCTTTAAGTAACAAACTCCAATTATCCATTAGACTCTGCAAATAGCAGAAAAAAATAGTGTTAGGAAACTAGGCACTCAATATGAATAATGGATTTACCTGTTATTCGCCTTACAAAAGAATCTCATAAAAATAGAAGGGAGTCACACAGAGTGGAGGAAGGGGACCAAGAGTGAGGGAGAAAACAGAAGACATGGGGAAGTGTGGGGAAACAGAGTCTACCAAATTATGCTATGCCCATGTACAAATATACCACAATGAATCATATGTACATGATGTACATGTATCTCAATTTTATATATTAATATAAAAATAATGAATGCTTACTATGTTCCAAGCAATGGTTCAGCATTTTAAAAATGTTTTATTTTTAAATATATATATATATATATATATATATATATATATATATATAATCATATTTGTATGATTATGTATATTATATATACAAGTTATATTATAATAATCCATTAATTAAAATAATACTAATAATTGCCATAATTATAATAGTAGAAGGGATATGAAATGAGTAGAACAAGTAGATCAAGGAAAGCAGGAGAGGAGAGAAAGAGAAGATACTGGCAAATGACACTCATCAAATCCTGTAATTTTCATGTTAGATTATGACTAATAAATCTCTATATATATGATTACAATGTACAACTAAAAATTCTTTTAAAAAAATCCCCTAAATCCTAAGAAAAATTCTTTCTTTATTTTATACATCTGAAACATAGTTCGTTAAGCACCTTCCATTAATGCTTGTATTTTGTAATTATTTTCAAGTAAATGTCTTGTTAACACTATTGAGTAGACTTATATCACATCCTCTTCAGATTACATTCCTCTAGATTTGATAATGCTAAGATCCACAATTCTATCTCAAGAAAGTGCTCTGGCTCTTTCTATCCCTTTAATCTATTCTACATGGACTATAGCAACTTGAAAATATTAGCAAAATATAGCAGCAGCAAGGAAAGTGTCAAATTCATGTTACTGACGAAGTGGGAAATACGGTGTCTCATGTAGAATAAAAGCAAAGAACACCGCTAATCAGGAAGGTTATACAAGTGAAGTGTGGTGTGGTGCCTGGGACATGTAAGTTCCTGTAAGGAAAATGAAAGTGACACAGAGACAAAATGCAGAGGCAGGAAAGAAAGATGGCAGAATGGCAGAGAGGTCAAGCTGCCAAGCCTTATTTACATCAATAGGTTACTTTAGGTCATTGGCATCATTAGTACATAGTGTTCATTGTATTACTAGGCAGGTTACAGACTCAGCAACATTATGCAAGGTATTCCTCAGTTATACACTAAGTTGCAATGTGTTAGGAGCTTTGTATAGCTCTCAAGAAAGTTCATTGTATAAAGTTACTGTTATGTGTGCAGGTTTAGGCTCAGTGATACATTATGGTTGTCTAACAAGAGAGTTCCTTTATTCCCAGAGTTGTGTGCCTGGGATCAAGGTTGAGGCTGATAAGACTAACACAGAGAGCCTCCTCATGAAGAACATGAAGATACAGCAGCCAGGCATCCTGTGTCTTTGCACAGAAGATTTCCCAGCAGCCAGGCATTCTGTGTCTTTGCACAGAAACTTCCTAGCCACCAAGCATGCCACAGTCATGAAGCTATCAGAGACCTCAATCCCAAAAACAGAACCCCTACTGGTTTCTCTTCTTCTCATTATTCACTTAGTAATGATAATACTATTAATAATAATTGAATATACATAAAGATAATGTAATAATACTTGAATACATATGTAATGATAATGGTAATAATAATAGAACATACATACACACACACACATACACTCACCCATATAATGAATGCTTATTATGTTCCAAGAATGGGATCAAACTTTTAAAAGTGTGATTTATTTTTTAAGTGTACTAATAAGAATAAGTTACCATTATTATTACTATTCAGATCTACAGATAAGAAACTGAAACTCAGAAACATTAATGAAGCTGCCTAAAGTGCAAAGATCCTCCTGCCTCGACCTCCTGAGCCACTGGGATTACAGGCATGAACCACTGAGCCCAGCTAGACAATAGTTTTAATAATACCTAAGGCTTATTGTTCATTTGCTATGTTCTGGCATTGTCTTGTGTGATCTGTAAACACAATCTCTTTAACTTAATACCGTAAATTTATTAGACAGGTAGTATCTCCCCGATATTTTAAGGTATACAATTTAGTCTCTAAGTGTTTAATCAAAGTAACTGGGTTAAAGTAAGTTGGTTAAAGATAAAGCTGTATCTCAAATCAAAAACAGTATGACTCTTTCTTTGAGTTATAAAGAAAAACAAATTCATCATTAATTGTAATTTTAAACACTCATTCATAAGCAATTTCATCTAACATTTGTGGTTGTTGTAGTTTTCCAGTGCATTTTCATGTTGCTTGGATTGATTATCAAAAAATGTGTAAGATGGTTTGTCTTAACCCAATTTTACAAATATGAACACAGGAACTTAGAGCTCTTTCCTAAGGTTAAACAACAGAAGAGCCCAGGCATTCCCAAGCTTAGCTCAGTTTCCACCATATCACTACTGCTTCCTAGCACGACTGCAGCAGACCCTATGAGAGAGGATTATTATTAATCCATTCATTTTAGGGATTTGGATAAGTGTTCTGTATATCCTTAGAATAATTAGTGTTTCCCTGAACAAAGTATGGGGGAGAGATGGAGAAAAAGGCGGCAGTGGGGGAGGGAATGTGTTAGCTCATGGTCTGTTCATGAGGATCAATCTCACCAGAACATTCAATATATATTTCTCAAGAGAGCTCTCGTGTCATGAAACAATTAGTGGGTAAATTTGCAATCGATTTGCATTATCCTTTTTAGGAATTAAGGCTTCTGAAACCCAGATTGTAGACTTCTACTTCATTCTAAGGTCTGCCATCATCTTGAAGGTTTTCAGCATACCCATGGAGACAGCCTACCCAGTTTCCTGATGCAAAGCTTCTTAACCTCCTCAAATTCAATGACTTTGGCTCTATTTTATCCTTCAATTTTACACTCCCAGACATGATAAGCCTTTTATCATGCAGAATTGTGCCATTTATAAAAAATAAACTAAAAAAATCTTACTTTTAAAATATTCATTTTTCCAGTTTCTTACATAGACATTCTTATTTTACCTGAACTTTGACCTCATCTAAAACATATAAGTCTTGATTTCTCTATTTTTCCCATATATAAACTTCCTTTCATCTTTATTCTGTATGCAATCTAAATATCAAGTCCAACAGTTGCCACTCCATTACTGATATTTTCAACTCCATATTGTTAATTTGCTTTCATCACAACTATCTAGCAAACTCCCAACATTGAAATTAGCCCAACTCTCTACTTGCTCCATTCTTATGCCAAATCTGCTGAGTAATGCTAACAAGATTCACATATACTATGGTTCTTTTTAGTAGTTTGGTTCCACTACATAAATTGAGATACTGGACCCTCTTCTACACAAATGTTTCTACTTCTCCCTGGGGGAGAAATAGAAACTTTCCAACTAACTTCAGGGGCTATGTTTTCTTTTGCTTGAGTCCTCTCTTCTATCACTCCCAGTATCAGGTCATTACAAACACCAGCCATCTGGGAGATCATTTACCATATCATTGATAAATTAGCTTCAGATTTAAACTGGTTTATTTTGGAGGGGATACTGGGGATTGAACTCAGGGCACTCGACCACTGATCCACATTCCTAGCTCTATTTTGTCTTTCATTTAGAGACAGGGTCTCACTGAGATGCTTAGCTCCTCACTTTTGCTGAGGTTGGCTTTGAACTCAAGATCTTCCTATCTCAGTCTCCTGAGTCTCTAGGATTATAGGCGTGTGCCACTGTGCCTGGCAATAATTTGGTTTTTTGATTCTTCTCTGTACTTCCTATATTCTAATATCCTTCCATATTAAATCTCTCTGCCAGTGGTCCACATTTTAGCTCCTTAGCACAGAAAAAATGTTTAACATTCACCAGACAACCTTGAATGTGGAGGCACAAGGAAAATGAGACAATTTCAGGTTTTCACAAGCTTTTCCTTTAAATAGTATGCTCAGATATCTAGGACACTTAGTCTCTGGGAGTCTGAATGGGATAAACTCACCAGTAAAACAAATTCTTGGCCTCCTACAGGCATCATTGTACAGAATTGGCCTTGGAATCTGCCTGTAAGCCAGGGGCCCCTGAACTGGGTGTTTAAGCTCCTTGTTTATAGCAATAAATTCTGTAAAGGAGCTGATGTCTCCAGATTCAATGCTGATCTTCAACACGTCTTCTTTATCTTTAACTAGGGTCTCACTGAAACCCAAGTCTTTTCTCTGGTCAAGGACTGTTTTGGCAAGATGGTGAATGGTGAATCTAAGAGAAAAAATGAAATAAAACATTCTGAGACTTACAGAAAACACCCACAGTTACTTTGGGTTCTAAATGTTAGGAATGGCAAAAGGAAGAAAAGGTCAGAGAAGAGCAGAGACAAGACTGAATGTTTTATAAAGAAAAAAGAAAATGTAGGGAAAAAATTAAAGACAAAATCAAGAAAAGGAACCCAAACAGCAAGGATGACAGAAAAAAGAAAAAGGGAAGAAAAATGAAGAGAAATGTGGGAAAAGAATAGGGAAACTGAATTCTTACTTGGCATCTGGCATGGGTTGTAGAGAAAA